GGAAAACAACAGGCCAAGACTCTTTGCGTTTGGATCCAGTAAGCCAAAAGAAGTGTATAGGTTAGGACCTAATTTTCCCTTGACCCTTATCTTAATCTGCAAGAGCAGAAGGAGACACATTGTAGGAGCTCAGTGAATATGTGTTAAAAAAATTGTTAAAAGAATCCACAGGAGGGAATACCTGCATATATTAGTATTGAAAACAGCCCAGGGGGGAATATGGATACCAAAACACCACCCTCCTGTGCCTGGCAAGCAGGGCAAGAATAAGGCCATTCTTGGCACATGCCACTTGTCTTAGCCTGTTGCTGGAATAGCTTGTGTGAGACTAGCACTTTACCCTCTGCCAGGCAGAAGGTCAGCCCAAGAGTGAGCTGATCTGTGGGCACAGCACCATCTCTCACCCAGGAGGCTGGGCCTGCTGTAAGCTCTGCTATATTATTTCGCTGAGGATGACAGGTGGGGAAATCTGGGCACCAGTTGTTCTTTTCCACTGGTATCATTTGGAGGGTAGCTCCAAAGTTGGGCACGCCAGCCTACGTGCCTCTCCTGCTGGCAGAGGCTCCACATTGAAGCTATTAGAATGTGAACTCTGTACATTGGCCAAGTCTATGTCTCAGAGACCCTACCCAGAACATAGAGTGGCCACAGGGCTACTGAGCTCAGTAAGAGTCATTCTGTCATTCAGTCCATTATTGCCTGGGCCAAGCTTCTAAATCTTGATAGGCAGCATTTGATTTTATGACACAGGGCTTAAAAAAAATTAAGGTTAAACTAAAATTAATTTCGTTTTGAGAAAATGACAGAAGTTCCTCCAAGACAGAGATACCACAGGCTGCCAGAAAGTGGGGATGCCAGTAGTGTACATTTTGCAATTCCTGATTTTCCTCTTTATGAAGTTTTCCCCCGCCCACTCTGCATGTTCTCATCTATGCACACCCTGACCAACACAATATCAGGACACCTTAACACATTACTTTTTACTTGAGCTTTATTTTTATTTCTTCTTCAACACAATGGTGTTGGTTCATTCAAATTAAACACTTATGGAAAAAAAATCCTCGTGTTATGTTGCAAGCATCTTATCTTTTTGCCTTGAGGGTTCTGTGAGTTCCATGCCATATTTATATTGTTGCTTACGTTCTTATTTCAGAGTTTAAGATAAAAGCTGGACAGGGAGTGGTGGCTTATGCCTATAATCTCAGAAGTTTTAGAGGCCAAGGAAGGAGGATTGTTTGAGGCCAGGAGTTTGAGATCAGCCTGGGTAACATAGCGAGACTCTGTCTCTACTAAAAAAAAAAAAGCCAGATGTGGTGATGTGCAACTGTAGTCCCAACTACTTGGGAGGCTGAAGCAGGAGGCTCACATGAGCCCAGGAGTTGGAGGCTGCAGTGAGAATGAACATGCCACTGCACTCCAGCCTGGGTGAAAGACTGAGACCTTGTTTCAAAAAACAAATTCGAAAAAGCTGGACAAAAAGTATCATGATTTGTAAATGTGTTGAAATGAATAAAATGCTGGGCTTGGTGGCTCAGCCTGTAATCCCAGTACTTTAGGAGGCCGTGGTGAGTGGATTGCCTGAGCTTGAGGGTTCGAGACCAGCCTGGGCGTGGTAGCACGTGCCTGCAGTTCTGGCTACTTGGAAGGCTGAGGCAGAAGGATCGCTTGATCCCAGAAGGTCGAAGTTGTGGTGGCCATGAGCATGCCCCTGCACTCCATCCTGGGCAACAGAGTGAGACTCTAACTCAAAAAAAAAAAAGAAAAAAGAAAAAAATTATTTCTTAGAATTAGTGGTAAAGCAGCATTTCCTCTGTCACTTTTTTATTCTTTACTATTTCTGGGTTCAGCTTATCATCTCTAAAGGGAAAATCAGATGATAAAGTTACATTGTATGTGACACTATCAATTGATTTGTGTAAACTTCATAATATTTGCTTGCAAAAGTGTTTTATTCACTTCTCAGGAAAACATTTTTTTTAACTATGCTTGCAATTCAGGATGTTGCTACTAGGTGGCAGTAGTGTATGAGAACTAAATGGTCACCTGGAAGAGTATTTGAATAAGAGACAAGCATGTCTTCCATTTATAAGAAATAAACAAAAAAAAATTATTAAAATACTCAAAAACCAAGCATCTGTTAACTAAGTTATCAGTCATAAGCTGAAATTTTAAAAGATGAAGCATTATTTTTTAACGAAATTTTAAATAGATAGTACATCTATAAGTTCAAAAATCTGAAAATACAAAAAGTGAAATACAGTTAAAAGTCTGTCTTTCATGCTTGTCTCCCAACTCCAGCAGGAATATAATTGTATTAATTGCTTGAGTGTCTTTTCAGAGCTTCTCTATGCAAATATATATATATCCCTTCTCATTTTAACACAAATCAATACATAGAGTTTCTGTGTCTTTCTTTGTATAATTGCTTAGTATTTCGGTGAATGAATGTTTTATCATATAATTAACCAGTCCCCTACTGATGGATATTTTGTGCTGTTTCCAATTTTATGCTATTACAACCATGTGCTTGTATGATTTCACATGTAGGAGAATTCACAGGAGTGGACTTGCTGGGTCTAAATTATACACATTTGCATTTTTAAAAGATATTGCCAAATTGGCCTCTGCAGAGTTTGGATCAATTTATACTGAACTGTCTCCAAAATAAGCCTGTTTTTCCACAGCCTTGCCGATAGGGTGCATAATCAGACTTTGGAATCTTTGTAAATCTGATTGGTTGAACAAAGTATCTCAAAGTACTTTAATTTTTGTTTCTCTTAGATGAGTAAGGGTGCCCATCTTCCATGTTTAAGGGCTCTTTATATTTCCTTTCCTATGGAAAAAGTGGGAATGCCAACAAATACAATCATGTATACTATCAGTTTTGTTACTGATGTTGTGCCTTGTTTTGGCCATCATGCTGTATATGTTTTTCTTTAATTTGCTTTGCTCATTTAACCATACTTCCTGGCCATGGCTCTGAAGAGAAGTTGCTGGAAGTGAAAAAGGAGGCCAAGGACTGGAATGTCTGCTTCCCCCTTCGTCCTTTTGTCATTGACTCCTAGGGGGGCTATCTGTAGACTGGAGCAGTGAAAGGAGAAATTTAATCAATTCCCTTTTTGAGACGAATTAAGCCTTCAAAGAGATAAGAAATCACTTGGGATAATTTAGCCATATTGAAACTCGAGATATGGTTAGTAATAGTGCATCTTCTGAAGCTGGACCCCAGGAAAGTTCTGGTTCTTTGATCTGATGTCTTGGTGAGGTTCAGGGTAAGGTATATAGAAAACTCTAAAATACGTAACTAAAAAGAAAACAAAAAAATATTCTTCTGCATTCTTTGCCATTTTGGAACTTTGGGCACAAGTTTGATCCCATTTTAATGAGATGTTGTTAGTAGCATGTGCATAAAGTGGCGCAAAGCTATAAGGAATTGGGTCTACTCAACCTTCTACATGTGGAGATAATAGTAGCTGAATTCATAGCTATAAGTGATGGCATTTTGGAACAAGAGGGGACAGCAGATGTGGCCTCTGTAAACTCCCCTACTGTACAGATGAGGAAACGGGCTGGAAGAGTTTAAGTGAGCTGTGTTAGGTTCCCCAGTTAATTAATGGCAGTGCCAGGACTCAAATCCAGGTGGGTCCCCTCATTACTGGAACCTGCCCTTCCTGCAGTTTATAGGACTTCCAGGAAACATGTACACTGAGGCTTTGTTATTGCCAGGGATGCTCTGCTCTGAAACAGCTCTATCTCACACACCCCTTAGGGATTCACTTAGGATCCCCTGCCCCACACTTGCAATACAGCTGATGGAAGCTAAGTGGATCTGAAGCCATTCTATCAGGGCAAAACAAATTGCTTACACTGAATTGAACTTCTAATCTTGATTTTATCAACACTTTGCTATGTTTATTCGGACTGTCCATGAGTAGGAAGTGAGAAAAAATGTCTATGAATGAAAGGATCAAACATTTATCTGAAATACCTTTGAAAGTTTTTCTGAAGCTTTAATTATCAAGTTCCTTTCATTTTGGATGTAATGTCGGGCCTCCCAATTTTCCAAAATATTTGAAAATATTTTTGATAGACTCTGTCTTCTGCTATGATAAAAAAAGGACCAGTGTTGGCCATGCCTGGGGGTGAGTGAGGTGATTTGAGATTTCTGGACCCCAGCTTTTTGTCTAAGAGATATGGTTAAAAGAATAAAGCAAATTTCAGGAAAATCGGCCTGATATGATTCCACTTTAATAGTCAATCTCTTCTCCAATGACCATTTCTTTTTCAAATTACACCATGTGCCCAGGCGACAAAGGCTCTGCAGAGATATGTGACTCTTAGCAAATACGCATGCCCTGCCTTAACCATGCTGGCGGCCAGTTAACATAACATGTATTTCAGATATAGTTTACCATCTGTGCTGGGTGGCACGGGACTTAAAACAAAAACAGGATGAGCCCCAAGCACAGAAGTGGAAAACTAGGTGGGTGGGTGGGTGCGTACGGACTTGAAAGTGGAAAATGTACTTCCCTGTGGGACACGGCCTGTGTTCATTAGCTCTGACCTGCCTCCTCTCTATCCCTGCGAGCTGATGTTGATACCAGAGCTTACTGAGAAATGGAATAGACCCTCCTGCCCCCACCAACCAAGGATAAAGATGAAACCACCCAAATCAGCTATGCTCTTGCCAGAACCACATGTTTCATCTTTACCATGGGTTCAGACTATTCTTGCCCCTAGGAACACGGACTCCAGCAATTAAAGTCAACACGTGCATCCATGAAACCATTGTGTTCACCTCCAAATGGTTATAAATATACAGCATAAGCTATGTGGGGCGGGGGGCCTTGGAATGGATGACAGCTTATGCTAATGACACTCTAGAAACCAATATTCTCCACTCAAAATAACATGCAAAAATTCTGCTCAAGACCTCCTGGGTTCCATTAGTGGTTCTGGGTAAATATTTCTGGGGAAAATAATTTATGTTTCCATTCCAGTTGTGCAGCAGATACTGTGATGATGGATTGTAGGTGCAAAGAGTAAGACAAAACTCCGGCATACAAAGGACAATGACTACCAGAAAACTTCAGCCAGATCCCGCCCTTTCCCTGAAAGGAACTGGATCCTAGGAGGTGAAGGCATTTCCAATTTTTTGTCCTCTGCCTCCCTCTGCTGTTCCTCTGGAGAAGTTTTTTTTTTTACAACAATGAGAAATCATGTACTAGCTGCATCCTTTTCTATGCTCTCCCTGCTGGTGATAATGGGAGATACAGACAGCAAAACGGACAGCTCTTTCATGATGGACTCGGACCCTCGACGCTGCATGAGGCACCACTATGTGGATTCTATCAGTCATCCATTGTACAAATGTAGCTCAAAGGTAAGACCAGAGTCTCTGTGAGATGAGCATTCTCCCCAGAAGCAGGAGAGAAGCCATATTTCTTTGTCAGGGGATAAAGAACTATGATCATAGCTCAAACTTGAGCTGTGTGGCTGGCCTGAAGGACTTGTGGGAAAATCGGGCTTTTAGGATTTCCGATCATGCTTCGCCTTTTTGTCAGTAAAACTGCCTAATAGACCATGTGCACATCCATCTAGTGGGAAGGGTGTCTTTTGTCTCTGACTGTGAAATTTATGAGCGGTAGTATTCTTTTTCAAGAAAAAAATGGGATCCACAAATTATTAAACTCCTTCTATCTCTATCAGCAATAAAGAGGAAGGGAATGCAAAGAATATAAATGAACAGTAAAACATACTTCTTAGGGGCTCTGTAAAGAGTTTTCTGGTGAAATAGTTGGTAATTGGCTTTGTGGTCTGAGCTTTCCTTCATGTTCCACATTTATGTTAAAATCATTTCAGAAGATAAGATGACAGTTTGATTATTTATCAGTTTTTACATTGGTGACCCAAATCATTCTTCTTTGGAGTATATTGCATTTTTTTCAGAGGCAGCCCATTCCTCAGTGGTGTGCAAAGGAATATCATGCTTAAAAGGCTACCAAGAGTGGCCAGTCACATGGACCACCCAGAAGGGAGGCACATTGTAGGAAGAAACATGCTCCAAATGAGTTTGCATGACTGTCACTGCTCCCGACCAGGCACATGAAGGAAATCTGTCTACACTTGGTAAATAAAAATTTGTTCACTCCAACCTCAGAGATTTTCACTTTTAGTTCTGAGACTAAAACCACTTACATTCTCATATGGCAAGTGTTTTTAAAATTACCAGTATAATGAAGAATTTTTTGCAATATCAGTCACTAGAATTAGAGCATATAAGTCAACTTGCCACTCTCCATTTTAAAGCATTATGACTTCTGTCTGTCTTTAAAATTGCCATTAGCTTATCTGATTATAACTCAATGATATGACTTGTTTTAGTTTGGGGGGGCAGAATTTGAGTTAAATAGCTTTAACCATTATATTAATAAGATCTGTGGGAACAAATAGAGATTTTCCATTTAAGAAAAATTGTCTGGTTCTTATTTTTACTTGTAGAACCCAAAAAAGGAATAATAGATTAATGTAAATTTTTGCAGGGATAAAATCCCTTCTTAGGAAAAGAAAACTAAACAGATTGAGAAAAAAATATGAGAAGTGCTTTTGTAATTGTGATTGCTCAGAAATTGTAAGTCTAAGTAAGGTTGACTGCAGCAATTATAAGCTTCTCCCCACACCTCCTTCAGAAACAGCACTAATATTTAGCGTTTTTTATGGATAATGGATAATGTCCTCCTCTGTTGAGTAGTCCTCCATAATAATGATTATTTTTTTAGAGGAATTAAAGTTATTTAAAAGAAAATGCCACTGTGATGATAGAAAGGAACAGAGAAATAGGAACATCTATTAAAAACTAGAAAACGATCTGGAAAGATTGGATGAAAGGATAGAGGTGTGTCTTAGCAACTATCACATTGATCTAAGAAAGGTCAAAGAAGAGACATCATTAATTCAAACCTAACAAATTCACAAGAGCAAGAGTCTTAGAAACAGACTTTAGTTTACTGTTGTTCACCTTTATTTCTTCCAGAATGCCATGATAAATAACAACGCAAAATTGTGATAGTACGAGAAATGTTTGTAATTTCGTGGGAACAATCTGTTTTCAAACATCCTAAACTATCCCAAATATAGCAAGAGTTTTATGTAAATGGTGCTTGCAATTATAAAACCTTGCTTCCTTGGCCATAAAATATGCCTGGCAGAATATCAGCTACCCAGACCTTTTCTAGATTAGATTTTCTCTATGTATCCCGGAACAAAACTGTTTTCATTTGGAAATGTTCTGTAATTCTTAACTCTCACAGACTCAGGCTGATCTTCTCACTAATGGGTCTCACTTAATGAAATTGTCTCCCTTTAGAGGGATAAAGCATTTAGCCTGTGTCTAGAAGAGAGCTAACAACAATCTACCCTAACTTCTCTTACAAAAAGTCTAGGGTAGATTTTTTTCTCTCTATGAAAATTTTCCCTCAACATCATGTTTAAGGGTTATTATTTACTCGACATGTACCTACTCTTTGTCTGTCAACTGTCAACATTTCCTGACTTGCATTTATCCAGTGTCTGGTCTTGTGAAGACAGATGAACAGAGGCGTGTGACTCAGACTCAAGGTAGGGAGAGCATGTGCTTAAACACCTAATAAGTGTCATGCACCTCATACTATATGCTCTGATCATTGCCAACAAATCTGTGATCGCAGACGTTATCATTCCCATTCCACTGGTAAGGAAAACTGAAACCCCAAAGACGTAGATGTCATATAGCCAGGGAGTGGCAATCTTGGTCTCACAGCATTCATCTCTCTACTACTTGGATCTTCATATTGGACAAGTGCAAGTAGAATTTAGGAGCCATTATTTAGAAGTTCAGGTTCAACTTGGGAGGCTTCAATGAGACTGTCTGTTTACCCTAGTCCTAAGCTTACAGCTGACCAGTCCCAGGGTCCTGTTGTCCATCTCCCAGCTATTCAGGAAAAGACTGAGATGAATTTAGACAGAAAAGACTGGCTACAGTGGTCACCAAGGCAGGCCATAAATTAGGATGTACCTTGTGGTTAAGTGGTGGCACCTCCTGGGATTAGGTACAAAAGATCCTTGGAGTGGCGGCATTCTTTATAATCTTCAAGGGAGACCATGTTTCTCTAAAATTCAGACGAGTAAAGCTAGAGCAAACAGGCACAAGGTCAGTGGTTAGTGGAAACAAGTGGCTGGAAAATATTTAAGGCAACTGAGGCATTCCAGGCTTTGAAGTGAGAGAGGCCTGGTTTCCAATTCTAGTTCCACAGCTTGCCAAATAGGGGACTTGGAGAAAGCTAAGTAATTATTCGATGCCTCAGTTTCTTCCCGTGCAAAATGGAGCTGCCTACCTGAGGGTGTGGGTGTGGATATTGGTGATATTTGTAAAGCATCCAACACAGTGTCTGACATATAATAGACATTTAATAAATGATATTATGATCTTGATGAAGTTATAAAGTGGACAGGTGTTTAGGCTCATTTTTCTATTTCAGTCACTACTGAGTCCTCAATAACTGTTGGGATCGTCTATAATCTTAAAGGATTAGAAAAATGAACCTCATTGTGATTGTTGTTAAACACAGGGCGGGGCAGAAGAACAATGTAAATGTAAGCCACCGTGCTGGATGCTAAGAGGGAGGATAAAAGAAAGAGCAACAGCCCCTGTGGTCTGGTGTGACCTCCCTTCCCAGGTGAGTGGAAGAAGGAAGGGCTGGAGAGGGGTAAGTTCTGGATTCAGGCCAGGAAGGGGTTTTCAGAAACCAGGACTGGGAAAGTGTGCAGGCAGGACTAGACTGTGAAGCCTCAGTTGAGTGAGGGGTGGGAGGTGGTGGCCCCAGGTCAGGGTGTGGAGCCAGATCATGGTTGTCTGAACTTGTAAGGGCCACAGAAGCCTGTGCACATCCCAAGGGATGGCTACAAAGGAGAAGGAAGAAGTTTCCAGGAGACAAAGTCTGGAAAAATTCCAGAAGAAAAGGAACCTAGCTTGCTAAGGGCTGAGCCTTGGAGTTGAAAGGAAACTGTTAGGACCCCCAAGCTGTCTCCTTCTGCTATCTATGAAGCTCATAGTGCGGTAGAAGAAATGAGGGGAGTAGGAATATCGTGTTTATACTACAATTGACTACTTGAGAGATATGATTTTATTTTTTATTTTTTTTTGAGTTAGAGTCTCACTCTGTCGCCCAGACTGGAGTGCAGTGGCCGCTCCTGGCCACCGCAG